TTTTTTTTTTTTTTTTTTTTTTTTTTTTTTTTTTTTTTTTTTTTTTTTTTTTTTGTTAGAGTTTGATCTCGACAATAATTCATTTATCGAATAGTTTTTTATCAGTGCAAAAGTTTCAACGTCAATGAAACATATATTTTAGACAAACTTCCATCATACAATACTTACCACATGGATCATGTTGAATCTTGTAAGAAATTCCTTTTGTTTTTCATGTTAGTTAGCGAACGATGATAGATCTTAACATCGATCGATAGAATTCATTGTACCTTGACGTATCTTCTTTCTTTTGTTTGAGCATATTATGATCTATTTCTTATTTTGGGCTCGAAGACCTTTGACGGGAGAAGTCTATGCGTCATTTGCTTAATTTAATTCATTTACCCATCCAATCATCTTTCTCATAGATTCTTCCACTTAAAGATCAATCAACCCGTTACATCGTATTTTCTTATACAATCACATTAGCTTATCATGTACGTTTTTTGTGCCAAACGCAAACATATCGTTGCTTTGAGGTAACTTCTCGATACCCTTTGAGGTAACTAATCCCAACACTTTCAAAGTCAAGTCATTATTCAAATCAAGTAGAGGGTTCGTAGAACTTGACTTAAGTGGACTAATAAGCTAAGATTCTTCGTAGAGAAGAAAATTGTTGTCGATTTCTTAATAACTATTTCCATTGATTTCTTATCGTTCATCTATCACCAACTGACACTGTTTCTTATAATAATAAACTGGATAAGATCTCGCAGACCCATCAAAATTTACAACAAACTCATGTGTTAGTAGCTGCTAGATCTCGCTCGTGTTTCTTTTTCTTAAAAAAAAAAGTTTCCCAAAGCTAGAACAAGCTTGAAGAACATTTAAAGAAATTGTTTCATAGTGTTCTTCATTTGTCCTTTCCCACCTAAGGAAAAGAGAAGAAAAAAAAACATAAAAGTGGAGAAAGAGAGACATTTATTCTCTAAGTGATAGCTTTCCAATGTTCTTCAAATCTAAACTCATCTTTCTCGATTCGATCCTTCAATTTCTATCATTTTGAACCGTACGATATCGATGAAAATATTCAGATTTACCACACTTTAACCTAATTTGAAATTTTCATGAAAAAATAATAATAGAAAACAGCGTGTTAGTACCCATTATTATGTTTTGGGAAAGTGACGATAGAAGTATATCGTTCTTGAGCAGGGGGACTTTGCGTGCTTGAATCGATAACCATCTTTTGAGCCCAACAATTTATGGATCCACCATAAAATGATATAACCTGTTTGTTTTTCGATAAAAATACTTGGATTGATATGAAAGAATTAAAAAAAAAAAGAAATGAGATTTCAACCAAGATCAATAACTCGAGGTAGAGTGTTGATCGTTAGGGTAGACAGGCATAAAAAGATCGAACTTTGCTCCCGACCTTACTTCTTGTTTTTTTTTTGTGCAAACAATTTTTTTATTGTACTATCCATGTGATGTCTACACATTAGTTGGGGAGGAAAACAAAACACTTTTTATAAAAACGTGGAAAGTCTTCTACTAGCAGACACGTTTTAAAGCCTTAAGGAGAAGCGAGTGCCTGCAAGGACGCTGGGCCTAAAGGGGAGTGGATTGTTATGTCCCACATTGATTCGAGAAGAGAACAAAAGACCTTTTATAAAGGCGAGGAAGCCTTCCACTAGCAGACGCGTTTTAAGGCCTTGAGGGGAGGCCCGAAAGGAAATCCCCAAATAGGACAATCTCTGCTATCCATGTGGCTAAGAGTCTTCACAGTCGAGGCATCACGATATAATTATCAGGGGTACTCTACCACTAAGCTGATAGTCCTATTAAACATGACTTTTTTTAGCTAGTTTTTCTCATGTCTTCGAGTGTCATGGGCGACGTGAGGTGTTGGTAACAATGAACTCATACTCGTAAATAGGTAAAGATTTTTTTATTTGCTGTAGGAATGTAGTTGTTTTGAGATTGCTCACATAGATGAAATAGAAAAATTTTAGGGCTACAAGTGGTTTAAAATACACGAACCGTCTTAAATTTTTATCCTTGGTTGGTGTTTGCAATAACTTCCTACGTCCTCCCTTTTCTAGCTAAAATGGGAAGATCGACCATTTCATTTAGGTCTCACGAGATTTTTTCTTGTAATTTTGAGTATTCGTCATTCAGTTTCATTATTCAAAAGCGCTCTTAATAATAAATGTATGTCCTTTCGAAATAAAGTGAGAAACGATTTCAAAACAGAATTTTAAAGTAAAAGTTAAATCACAATAAATGCATGAGATTCTTCAAAAGAATGGTTTTTTTTTACGGTTTTCTTGTTTTGCACTACACGCCAATTGATCATTTGAAAACCTAACATTGGTAGAGTAACTACACACTATCTCGACATTCAGTCCAAAAGTTCGTCCAAACTTTGATTCGTAGGAGCTATCGAGGCTTAGAAACTTGAGGTTCGTCCTTTGAAGAGTTCGTCGTGACGATTCGATCGAAGTTTGTCCGAACATCAAGACAGACTCCAAAAAAGACAAACTTTTAACTCCCAGCACCAATGAAGCTCTAACAAATCCGGGTTTTGACGAACTTTGGCACAAATATTGAGACGAAGTCTATAAAGGATAAACTTTGGGTTTATAACTCTTAAACATTCAACAGGTCCAAGTTTAAACGAACTTTGGTAAAAAAAAAAAAAACGTCGAGACAAAGCCTTGAAATGACGAATCTTTAGTTTATATCTCTCCAAAGCTTCAACAGGTTGATGTTTGACCAAACTCTAGTCCAATGGTCGAGAAGAGCTTCGATACATTTATCAAGAAGAAAAAATAGGTTAAATTATAGGTTTGGTTATTTGTATTTAGGATTTTTGTTAATTTAAAAAAATTTAAAAAGCCTGCTATAAGCATTTTGAAGTACTAATCTTAAAATTCGAGATGTTCGGTGTAATTCATTCCGAGCGAATCAAAGCTGAACCACCCTTATCGATATTTTACGGTGACTTTGACTTTTTCGAGAAACCCTAATTCTTTAAACCTTTTGTGGGGGCTTTGTCTCTTTTGTACATGTGGTGAGAATATTTGTGAAATAAATAAATAAATAAATCATTTAAATTAAAAAAAAAAAAAAAAAAAAAAAAAGGGTTTGAAATTGGGTGGAGGGTTATGTTTTAATAATTAATTTGTCCCCTCACCCACCCACTGCTACCTCTATAGCTGACAGCAACAACACGTGATGGGCTGGTCCATACACTGGGCCCTCTTTTTAGGCCCAACCGGTTACCTGTTACCTGTTACCTGCTACCTCCTACCTGCTACCTGCTACTGCCGGTTTTTTCCTACGGCCCGCCTTCTGGGCCCCGCCCATTAATTCTCTACCACAAAGGCCCCCCCCCCCCTCGAACTTTTCACTTTATGGATAATTATTTTAGTTAATTTATTGAAAACCCCCTCAATTTTATACTTATTTTAAAAAAACCCCTTTAAACTTTTCACTTCCTGATATACTCTTACTCTAATATTTTTTTTTTGGATAGAAACCGTTAATACTTTATTTTAAATATACTTTTAAATATTTAAAAGTTTTATAAATATCGGTATAGTTTAAAAAAAAATAAATTCAAAATACTCTTACTAGTATGTTAGTAGTTAAGTGTGAGTTTATACGATGTTTGAGTTTGATCACGAACAAAAGAGAATGTTGTGAATTTTGGTCATAATTTTGAAAATAACGAGCGAGCCAAATTAGTTTATTTATTGTGATTGATCAATAAGTTTTCATACGATCAAAAATAATGTTTTTTAGTCAAATTAAGAGTGAAAACTATTCATACAAACTAATACAGTCATTTTAGCACATTTTGTCTTCCCTCACATGCATATAAATTTTCAAGAGGTCATTTAATATAAAAATTGTTGAAAGTAAACTCCGCTTAAATATTAAAAATTTTATGATTGAGCTACTAAGAAGAAACATACACCATGTGGGTATAGGTAGTGACTTTCGATTCTTTAAAGCGTTTCTTAGTCATTTTATACTGATAATTACTCTCACTCAGACGTTATCTCGGTTTATTCATGTATCATTCCTTTACTCGGGTGTTTCATTACATTAATATTTAAATATCATAAAGAAATTTATTTCAATAAAAATCCTAATAGAACTATATATATATATATATGTGGTTTAGGGTTAGAGATTAATGGGCCCCCGAATTCCGTATGCATTTGGACCACATATTTCTTCAATTTAGCAACCATGCCATGTGGCTGTTACCATGCGCCATGCCTTCTCTTTTTACTCACAAAGGACCATCGACCTACAATATTTGAGATACGAGGGGTATTTTTGCAAATAAATTCTTTGAATGAGTACCCATATATTGGACCCAATCAAAGAATATATGTTTTTTTTTTCATAATCAAAAGGATTATAGTAGATATTATTTGTTAAATTAATATGATCGTGTTTATGTCCCGTGAGATCCCATGATTTATCATGTATGATAAGCATGAATGAAATATCATGAATATGTATGCATGATAAGCATGAAAGTATTATGTGCATCACTTCATTGAATCATGATATTTAATGCGGGACCTCGTGTATATTGTATATGTCACGGACGAACACATACACCACATTATTATACGTGTTCCTTTCCTTTTGTTGGTTTTCGGTAGCGAAAGTGAGTATGCTAATGATATGTCTAGTAGGTTCATGCACCCATGCATGAATCATGCGTATAAAAGTACTATGCATCCAACTTTACTTGAAAAATAAAGTAGAGCACAAGAAGCGGTCATGAAAAGTAAGTCCTACCATAAATCATGTTGTATGTAGTTGCATTTCTTATCTCCAATAATGGTGGTCTTATTTTTTAAAGGCAAATAGGGTCGGTATAGTCGACTACAAAAAGAATAAAGATATTATGTGTAGCTTTGACACTATGATTCGATCAACCAAACACGATAAATATAAGAATATGCTTTCCCAAAAAAGGTATAAAATATATCCTAAACTCGCTATATTATACTTCGAACACGTCATTGACTTAAGCACTTAGGACATTGGACACAACATCACATTGATGCTAAATATTCAATTTGTGCAAATGATTAATGTCACTTCCGCCCTCAAAATAGTGTACCCAAACACCTTAGGCCTAGTTGACTTGATTCACACGTCAATATATACAACATGGTACGAGCACACGATTCTGAAGATGGTAGGGAAAGCGAAAGAGATCGTCATTACACTAATGCAATTGCCTCAGTGATCATCGTGAATACGAAGGCTCGGAAGCCTTAGAAGACACCGACTTGAAGTCACAACTCCACCATCAAGATAATCGCAATCCAAGACTAGATGACAGTGTTCATAACTCGGATTGTCATCACCTGATTTTCGAGCTACTCAAAGCACGGATCATAACGTAGATAGACTTGAGGAAGTAAAAATAGGCGGTACGATTTTTTATTTTTAAATCCAGAGATTCAATGATATGAACCAAGATATCAATCATGTAAACCGTCCTCATCTTAGACTAGCATCTAGTCTATCACTTGAAAAAAATATAATACAACTAAAAAAACACAAGAATGACGGATGCTTTTGGACTTAGGTTGTCCCTCTATGGCTTTCGCTCTAAGACCATCCCGATCTTAGATAGCATCTAATCATCACCTTAAAAAAAGTATGATACAACCAAAAAGACACAAGACTAGTGGACGCTTTTGAACCTAGGTTGTCCTTCTATGGCTCTTTCTTGAAGACCGTTCTCATCTCCGACTAGCATCTAGTTATCAAGTGAAAAATATGAAAAACTAGATGAGTATAAAATACTTACCGACTCTTAATCATATTCATGACTTATGCTAAGGTATCACAATCTAAATCCAACCCTACACAATACTAGTTCGGATCCTAGAACACTCATCTGGAAGACCTATTGGGTCAATGATTGGTGAGTTATATGACCTAATCATGATACTATGTCTAAAATTTCATGCATCCCCCTGCAATATAGTCCTATGTTCAGGGTTTTAATGCTTTCCCGGGGCATAATGTGAGTTGTGATATCTGAGTCCATGACTTCATGCGTTACTTGCAACACAATCTATATACCTATGCCTAGAGTTTCATGCGTCCCCTGCAATATAGTCTCATGAAATCCTGCAAGGAAACATGGGCAGGACATTCTACCTTAGTAGAAAAAAACCATAGATCACGTTACACTACTCATCGGGAGGTCTAGAGTGACTTTAGGAAATGAGCGAGTATGGTGGAGCGGTACCTAGATATCTTTGTGTCCTAATAAGCTTAGGGCCTTGATGGTGTATTTCTATAAAACAAAATAGTCAAAAATATTTATTTAGTGGAGTAGGATGGGAAATTGGGGCGGGATTGAGACGGGGACGAGCAATCTCGGCCCCAATTTCACATTGTCAAAACTATAAAAATCGGGTCAAAACTAATTTATTGTTTATGAAATACTATTAGATTTATTAAAATATTTTATTTAAATTATATTTAAAAATAAAAATTACTATATTAAATTTTGGACGAAGATAAATAGGGAAAAGGGACTAAAGACAAATTTTCATTAAAAAAAAAGCTAAATAAATTAAATGAATAGACCATTAACTATTCACATGCACCCGTCCCTATCTCACATGAAAATTTATAAATTTAAATTATATAAAAATAAAATTCCAAAAGTATAATATAAAAAGACAAGGTGAGTTTTGACCTGATTTTCCAAACAGCCAAAAATATTTTTTAAAGGGCTAAAAAGTATTTTCATTTTTTCCAAAAAAGAATTGACGTCTCATAAAAAAAATAAATATATAAAGCATTCTGGAAGGAAACAATTATTAGTATTTTTCAATATTATATTATTATTACTGAAAATAAATTTAATTTGTAATTTTATTGTAAAGTATGAATTTCAAAAATTAAAATCTGACTAATCCTACTGTACTTTACGCTCCATCTCATTAAAACACTAATCGAACTGGTGAGAAACTAACCAAACTAATAAAGAATCGATTGAACCGGTCAAGAACCTACTAAACTAGACCTGAAACACTAACTAGCCATGCACCAACATTTAGTCGTTTATTTACCCTTCTCACTGCTTGGTTCATTCATGTGTGTAACCCTAGCTACGACGACATGCTTCTTTGGTTGCAATTTCTCACTATGACAAGGATCGATGGTGCTGACACTCTCCAACGATGTCTATGATCAAGAATGACAAAAAACACGATGAAAATCGAACGTACATTTAGTTGATTCTTGATGCTGCTCTTGAGGATAAAGGGTCATGGACGATCGACAAAGAGACGAAGACAAACAACGATGGATCCAATAGTAGAGAACACAATCGATTACATGAAGAGAATGAGCTAAGAACAAACAGTTGACGAGTGACTTGAATAGAGCCAAAACTCAAACAAACGGTTGCATTTCGGCTATCTTACAAATTCTCCATCTTTTTGTTGGGCTCCCACATTTCGGCCCAAATAAGCCCAGCCCACAATATCTTATTAACTTTTTATTTTGTTTTTTTAATTCTAATTTAACAAATTTAAATTTATGAATTTATTAAATACAAAATTAAAAAATTTATATAAGTTTTGAATTTTGAATTTTATATTTAATAAATTCTTAAATTTTTTATTTTAAAAGTTTATAAAAAAAAATTAAAAAATTATTAAACACATTTTAAATTTAAGACGGAAAATGGGAGCCACATTACTTGGGCCCCAAGTCGGAACAAGTTGTGTCTTAAACGAGAGAGAGAGAGAGAGAGTAAAGCCTTCTTCGTAAAACCTCTCTTAAACCCTATAATTCCTAAGCTCTCGTCAGTCACCAAAACGAACCTCGAGCCGAGCTCTAGGTTTCAGCTTTGGGGATTGATTTGCCGAGGATTTTGCAGGAAAATGGCGAAGACCACATATGCAATGAGTTTGATTTCCGCCATTACAGCCTCTGCATCTTTATCTCAAAATCACTCTGCTTATGCCGATGGCCCCTTCAATATCTCCCCCGTTTCCGCTTCTCCTGCTGCACAATCTGCCTCGTCGAATGCTAATTCTGAGACGTCTGCCCCTAAGGTTCGAAATGATAATCCGAGGACGTCGTCGTCCGGGTTTGATCCGGAGGCGCTGGAACGTGGTGCAGAAGCTCTCAGAGAGATCACTAGCTCTTCGCATGCCAAGAAGGTTTCAGTTATATTATTACTGTTTTGTTTTGCTTCGGTTTTTAATTGCTTGTGAGGACTTTTAGATGTTATTTTTTATAGTCGCTTGTACTATATTGCTTAAATTTTCAGTTCTCCAATTTTTTTTCTTTTTTCTTTTGTTTCCAATTATAATATCATTTTTATTGCTTGTATGATTTGAAACTTTTTCTGTTTGGATGTAAGTGTAGTTCAATCATAATGTGAATAAATCAATACGGAAATGATGTTAAGTTTCGTTTACCTTGAAATCTTATGTTTTGCTCTATGCTGACCTCATGTTGTGGTAGGCTTTTGAATTTATGAAGAAGCGAGAAGATACGAGACAAGTAGAGTTGCAGGCGAAGACTTCTGAGTTCAAAGCAATGCAAGCTCAAGCTGAAACGGTATGTTTAACTAAGTCCTTACAGTTAAATACTCTAATAATACCATCTCTGTATTCTTTGAACATGCTGAATTTAATTTCTATTCTTCATTAATGGATATTTTTGTGAAGGTTTGAATCTGGAATTTCTATAGAAGGAAAAACAACTTTATATTCATATTGAAATTCGACTTTATATTTATTATTGGAACTTTGCATATTTGAAATGTCGCAAGTCTTGAAACAGGTTCTCAATTATATATCCTTCAATTTCTAGGCTTGTATCGGGATAGCAATAATTTTTTCTTTTTTCAGTTTCAGATGAGAAGGTTAAACAGATTGGTTTGACGTTATTGGAAAAAAAGCACTTTTTTTATGGGTTCATTGAGTTCCATCTTTGTTTTCTCCAGAAAAATGTACCTATTCTTGACAAATGTTCATATAGTTGTTAAAAAAATATATAAATCCATGTGCACTAAATTAGTTAACTATGTTTTCGACATAAGAATTATTTGTTTCGCTTGTTTGCATCATAGGAAAGACAAAGGGTTATATACGATGAGCAGAAGAAGTTAGCTCAGCATCAAGCACAGACTAAATCGCAAATGGCACGGTACGAGGATGAATTGGCACGGAAGAGGATGCAGGTGGGTGCTTGCTAACTTATAAATTTTGGGTAGCATAAATGCATTGAATATGCACGTTATTTTTTGATGGATATGTTAACAGGCAGAAAATGAGCATCAAAGAGCCAGGAATCAAGAGCTTGTAAAACTTCAAGAAGAGTCATCAATTCGGCAAGAGCAAGCACGTCGAGCTACAGAAGAACAAATTCAAGCCCAAAGACGACAAACAGAGAGGGAGAAGGCTGAGATAGAGCGTGAGACTATCAGAGTGAGGGCTATGGCAGAAGCAGAAGGAAGGGCCCATGAGGCAAAGCTTGCTGAAGAGGTAAATAGGCGAATGTTAGTTGATCGTGCAAATGCAGAGAGGGAAAAATGGATTGCCGCTATTAATACTACTTTTGATCATATTGGAGGTATTAACTTAACTGTATTAAATTTAGATTGATAATGCATGTATCAAGTATGTGATGGAGGAGTCTTTCCCCTTAAATTTCTATTTATGTATTTCTTAACAGACGGATGTTTTTTTTTCCTCTTATAAATTAAAAATCATACATGCATTCCTTTCGATGATATTCAGATCAATTAGTGACCTCCTAACTATTCCCAATCAATCCATTTCACGTATTCTTTAAAGTGATTCTTGAATCATCAGTGTTCAATCTCTAACACACAATAATGAGGCCATGTAGATAACAGAACCGTATCAAATTAATCTATTTACTAGACTAATAGATCTTGAATAACCTGCCACAGGGTTATTTAATTACACTTTTGGGAGGACAAAGGTTGGCAGATGTTTTCTTTGCCCTACTTTTTTTATTTAATTTTAATCTTTTTTGGAGAGTAGTAGAGAGATGATTGTCTTTTTACATCATAAAGGGATGGCTTGCGTTCCTAACCTGTTGTACATTTATAGCAGAGTGGCTTGGGAAGTTTACGTTGGGCCCGACTAATGTATATGTATCTTTCATTTTGTTATTTATTCTAAAATAGGCTGGTCGCTTTATAAAATTCCCTAAGAAGAATGGTACCATATTCGTAAGTTGTGCCAAGTTAAGTTATATATTAATCCTTAGCATTTATATGGTTCGGTATTAAAGAGAATTGGTCTAATTTTGATATTATTCACATTTGCAGGAGGTTTGAAAGCCATTTTGATGGATCAAAATAAATTGGTAGTTGCTGTTGGTGGAGTTACTGCATTAGCCGCAGGGATTTACACGACAAGGTATTTCTCAAAAGCTAAAAGGTTTTGTGAAACAGGTTCTTTATATTTGTATGAAAATGTTGAGTTGAAATCTGCTTGCTCTGCTTGACTGAACCTAATCGGTTTATTTAATTTTCTTTCTACTTTATTGGCTGCATTTGTGTTTTCATTTATGTTAAGGGTTTCTTTGCTCATTTTGGGATGATGATTTTGAGACTGCAGTTCTTTTACATTTCGATTTTCGATTTCAAAGTAAGCTGAAATATGAATTTTTCTTTTCAAGGTTTACCTTGTTTTGTATCCTTTCCTAATAGGAGGGAAGATTATTTGACAGATTCAGATGTTTGCTACGCTTTGGGGCATCTACAGCAGAAATATTTTTGAGGATTGGGTTTTGCTGAAGAGGGAGGTGCGGAGTTATGTATTCATTATGATGCCTTACTCTTTGCTTCCACCACAATGACTATAGGGCTAGTTTTCTTTTGATTTTAAATAGGGGGATACTTGTAACGGGACTGTATTCTTGGCCTTTATATAGCATTAGCCTTTTTCTTTTGGGTTTTCTTGAGGTCCGTTCTTTGCCTCTTGGTGCTTTACAACCTCTTGTTTTCTCTCAATTTATTGAATTCTTAGTTTTTCTTCATGAATTGGTGAAAATAAAATAAAATCATCAAGAATAAATATATAATTTTCCCAGCAGATGAGTGGATGGTTGTCTCAGAAGTGACTTGTCATTGAGTAACTTCATTGAATATTTTGTAGAGGATGAACTTTCCTTTGTTCATGAGGTATCTTTTATACTCTAGGAAGGATGATTGTTTCAATTTTCATTCTGTGTGTTTGTTTTTTCTCTGGTTATTGTGAAATGTTTGAGATAGGAGACAAATCGATCCACTATCAGCTATGCTACTCAAATTTATATACAAGGCTATTTCCTTCTGCATGACACTAGTGAGGCAGTCATCATGAACCGTATATTTTAGCATATTTGTTACAGCTTTTATCATTTTATCTTCTTGTTTTTGTGTTCATAAATTCTACTTGGGCATCAATTTAATCTGGTTTGTTCTATACCATTTGCAATCTGAATGGTCATTTAAATTTCATAAATTTCGTTGAACTCCTATATCAATTTATTTTCAATCTCCGTTTGCTGACTGCAGAGCTTATGGCTTTTCCTTACTGTAGAGAAGGTGCGAAAGTGATTTGGAGTTATGTGGATAGAATATTAGGGCAGCCATCACTGATTAGAGAGTCATCACGAGGAAAATACCCTTGGTCGGGGCTGTTATCCCGTGTCATGGGCACTGTGTCACGTGGGTCAGATAAGGGGCCTTCCTCAAAAAAAGGAAACGGGTTTGGAGATGTAATTTTACACCCTTCACTTCAAAAGAGGATAGAGCAACTATCAAATGCAACTGCAAATACAAAGTCTCATCAGGCTCCCTTTCGGAATATGTTTTTCTACGGCCCTCCTGGAACAGGAAAGACAATGGCTGCTAGAGAGCTTGCTCATAAATCTGTAAGATTTCTTTCATATCTTCTCTTTCTAAATTGTTGAAAGGTTTGGAAGTCTAGATTCAATATCAAGTGTTAATATTTCTGAGCATTATCAGGAATGTTCATTCTGTCTGGCGTTGAAAAACTTCAAGATCATGGTAATATTATAATGAAAAAGACCTTCGGTCTTTTAAAATGGACCTTCATGCGAGAGGAACTTTTTAGCATTTCCATCCTTCCTAAGATTCTAGGAATTCATTGATATAGCCAGAGGAGTATCCACCATTTTGGCTATAACAAGAATTCATGGATTTTTAACTGTCCAGGCTGTTCCGCCTAAGAGGGTAGTGATTTGATCTGGCTTGCAGGTGAGTTGCAGCCTGTCCACTCCTAAATGAATTTTCTTTTAATTCAATTTATAACTGTGGGGACTAAATAAAACCTGTGAAGTGAACTTTATGGTTTTTTGGTAGCATATATTTCAAAATAACATGTTCAATTTCCTAGTTGTGGTAAAAACCATTGAATTCTTGAATTTGAACTGTGGCTGTCATACACTCTGACGACTGCTGGTGAAATTGATGATTTTCAGGCTAGTTACCCCGAATTTAGCGACCATTGTTTTACCAATTGCTTTTTGCTGATGTGATGAGAGTTTTACTTTTTTATTTTCTTATAACTATGCAATATCTATCAGTCACTGATTTTTTTTCTTTGCCCATAGGGACTAGATTATGCATTGATGACAGGAGGAGATGTTTCTCCTCTGGGATCACAAGCTGTTACCAAGATACACCAGTTATTTGATTGGGCTAAGAAGTCTCGGAAGGGTTTACTGCTTTTCATTGATGAAGCAGATGCATTTTTATGCGAGTAAGTCAAACTTGCTCAACTTTATTCTGTCTTTTCCTTAATCATGTTTGTAATGAAACATAATTTATCAATTGTGTCTTCACTCTTGGGCTGTAAACATTGTTTCTCATGTTCTAGAAATTTGCTAAAATTCAGTCATTTATTATAATTTCACAGAAATCAGTATTATGGAAAAATTTCCCTTCGCAAGTTTTGTGATTGAGTTGAGAAAATTGCAATCGCTAATGGTGGAGTATTGTCTAAATTTGTAGGCGAAATAAAACATATATGAGTGAAGCACAAAGAAGTGCACTTAATGCTCTTCTTTTTCGCACGGGTGACCAGTCAAAGGATATTGTTCTTGCTCTTGCTACAAATCGCCCGGGTGATCTTGACTCAGCAGTAGGAGATCGTATTGATGAAGTTCTAGAATTCCCCTTGCCCAGGGAAGAGGAACGCTTCAAACTCTTGAAACTTTATCTGGAAAAATATATAGCAAATGCTGGATTGAGAAAATCTGGTTTATTCCAAAACATTTTTAAAGGACAACAAAAGAAGATCGAGATCAAAGGGTTGACCGATGAAATCGTACACGAAGCAGCTGCAAAAACTGAAGGATTTTCTGGGAGAGAAATAGCAAAGTTGATGGCAAGTGTACAAGCTGCTGTTTATGGTAGCGAGACATGTGTGCTCGATCTGAGCCTATATCGCGAGGTGGTAGATTATAAAGTTGCAGAACATCAACAGAGAAGGAAACTTGCTGCTTCAGAAGGAGGCAGTGTGCAAAATTGAAGGTATTTATAATAAATAATATGATACTATACATGCTAATACTACTCTTAGATGGAAGAAAATTGATTGGTTTCTGTCTGGTAGTTACTTTAGATTCATTGATGAGGGAAATTATGTATTTCTCTGTGCTAGTTTTTTTTTTTTTTTTAACTTAATTAACAGGGTACATGAATATTAAAGTCTGGTTGTTGAATGGATGAGTAGTGAATATCTTTAGGGTTTACATTTTTCCAGAGGTATTATGCTGAGAGAGACATAGTTCTACTAGAAAGGCACCAACTAACCTATGTTAGTGAAACTTAGCCTAGCAATACTGTTTCACATTGACACCATACTTGGTACAACTTTGAAATAGTTCTCTTGTATAATTAATCAAAACATTTTCATATGAGGATTGTATTGGAGGACTAGCACCCCTAGAGTAATTAGAAGCACTTGACCTTACAAAAATGACCTACACACAACATAGTTAATATAGACGGATTATTGTCTTGTTTTTAATTCAATCAAAACTTCAAGTCATTTCAATCTCATGAGTTTTATTTGAAGAATGTTGGTTCACATATTATCCCAATCTAAGTAATTGCATTTAGACACATTACATACTACCAAAAATTCAAAAAAAAAAAACTTAATCGTGATTTAAAACCCCAACTAATTTTCCATGTTTACATCAATTCATACATATTTACCAAGTGTGGAGCCCCGGTAGCAAAAACTATTCAAAATATGATATTCACTCAATGAACCTGTCAAAAATTGAAATCAATCTATCTACAATAATTCCCAAAAGTATTAAGAGTCAACATAAAGGGTAAGGAATTTAATTGAGAGGGAAGAGTCACTATCACACCTATCAATAATCCCCAAAAATATTAAGAATCAATATTATGAAGAATATAATTAAGAGGAAAGATGGAGCTACCAAATCAGAAAACTCCCTTTTATTGAAAATGTGATGATTTTGGGTTCATACTAAGAGGACCTAATTCTAATCCTATTTAAACTAAATTTATAACTTATAAAATATAATCCAATTATATGAGATAATATGTAACTCAACCGATAAATATACCTTCTTGATCAAAATGTTAAAGATTCGAATTTCCATTCCACACCTTGAGACTTTAAGAATGAACAAGCTTCCAACTCCGAGATATTGGGAGAAAAAGAAAAAAAAAACTTTTATTGGTACAGCAAGATAGGTCCATTAAACAAATCCTTTTAAGCAATGAAACAAATTTGGAAAAAACAATGGACCCGGGCGAAGTGTGAGTGAATGGCGTTCTCAAATTCCTATTTATGCAGGCAGGAGTTGCAGTCATTGCATTACAGAGGTCAAGTTTGGAGCGGAAGGGTATTGGCTTTCCAAGTTCAGGCTAAAACCATAGTCCTTTATTACAAATTACCATTGTTCATAATACCAAAATTTACTGCCATAACATTCCAAAAATTTACTTCTCTAAACTAAAAGAACAATCACAATCTTATTCAGCTTCTCAAAAGTGCACCAAGTAGACTTTCAATCACCAGCCAATTAGCTAAGAAAGGAAGTAGACTTTCAATCACCAGCCAATTAGCTAAGAAAGGAAGAATTGTGACATCTCGTATGGAGTTTTGTGATATTCCATATCGGTTGGGGAGGAGAACGAAATACCTTTATAAGGGTGTGTAAACTTCTCCCTAATAGACACGTTTTAAAAACCTTGAGAGAAAGCCCAAAAGGAAAAGCTCAAAAAGGACAATATCTTCTAGCGGTGGGTCTGAACCATTACAAATTTTGATTTGTATACACTGAGCAAGAACATGGGCATCTTCTTAAAGGAAGAATGTTTGGCTTACTCCCCATGAGCATAAGAGCAAACCATTTATAAAGCTCACATTGATATTCACACGTACTCTAGAGCATTCAAAGAAAGTCCAGGTTATCTAGAACAATTCAGATAAATAAAAGATGTTAAACAAGTAACAAGATAAGAAGAACTAAAAGATCCTAGATAATGATCATGGAGGTAAAATCCTATGCAATAAAGAGTCCTCTAATCTTCTATTTAAACCAACAGCCGATTGGATCCATCAGAAAAAGCCTCTGCTAGTGGCATTCTCTATGCAAGGACTCTAGCAAGGTTTACTGGGCCACTACTCTTCCAACCAAGGACTCTAGCAAGGTTGGCTTAAGCTTAAGTGCATAAGAATGCTCCATGCTGCAATTGTGGCATCACCACTGCAAGGCAATACAATGTTGGGTTGGGAAGAGCATTCAATAGAAGCACCTATTTTTGTTGGCAGCGGAGGCTCTTTCGCAAAAGCCGTGCACATACTCAACATCGGGCCTGCTTCCGTCATCCCGTAACCCTATAATTATATCAACGTTTGATTCAAATAACATTAATACCATATTATATAACATTATATTATAATCCATAAACTCTTGTGCTTTTGTTTTTTGCGTCCTCAAAAAGCATCATACCAAAGAAGATATATTCTTGACTTTTAAACTCATGATCATTTCCTAAATCAGTCACGTGTCACTCCCTCTCAACAATTTGTATCAACCAATTCTTTAACAACGCTCTTATGGGTCAAAACAACACCCTTCGGAGTCCCCGTCGTGCCGGAGGAGAACGGCAATGAAACAGTGTCATTCCAGTCAATTTCCACGAACGGAACGTCATTTTCATCGGCATCGTAAACCATCGAGAAGCTCAAACAATTCTCCGGCGGATCATCGACGGTAATAATGGTGAGATCCACGTCAGATTCCCGGAGCTTGTCAACACAATGCGAGTAAGTAACCACCAATTTAGCACCCGACATCTCCAATTGCTTGGAAATCTCCGCCGCCGTGTAGTACGGATTAGCAGTGGTGGCGACACCGCCAATCATGGACGAACCCATAAAAGAAAAAACAAATTCAGCAGAGTTCTAGAGAAGAATCATAATAACATCCCCTTTCTTAACGCCAAGTTTAGAAAAAGTGGCGGCGGCCCTCTTGGAGAATAAGTGGGTTTCGGAGAAGGAATAGGATTTTCCGGTGGCGCCGACGATCAAACATGGGCGGTCGGAAAATTCAGAGATTTTCTCAAAGCAATAATCGTGAAGAGGGAGATGGTCGGGGATTGTAATATCCGGTAATTTCGATCGGTAAACACGTGGCGGCGGAGATGAGGAGAGTTTGGGCTTTTCGCCGCCGCACAATGGGGCAACGGAAATCATGGTCGGATGTCTTGTCGGTGGGGAATTTTGACATGTAAAGAGAGTGTTAAATAAAGAGAGGGGTTGGTAGAAGAAGTGGTGTAGGTTGAGCTGACGTGGAGATGGAGATTTTGACTTCTAATTTTTTTAAAACTTTATTACTCCCTTTTCAAGTAGAGTTACCACGGTTACATGCGTCATTTTAACTTGATGGTCGAGTTATATGTTAAAGTCGAGAGATATAGAGAAAGAGCTCTCGACCTTCTACGTACTTCTCTAGATTCTATTGTTTTCTTCTCATTTTAGATCATTCGTCTTAGTTCTCATAGTTCTTCTTGAACTCCGTTCAAAAGTCAACCATGATAACATCCATGCAACACATCTAATTTTTAACCGCGAACTTAGTTTGAATAATCTAAGAAATTTATGAGTGTTAATCAAGAAAAGGGCATACCAGGTGAAATGAGTGTTCGTTGGTGAAACATATGATATTTAAAGCCCATAAGTACCTCAACCAACCATAACCATTTCAATAATTGCATGTAAGATGTATGATCCTTGATTGAAGTACATTCAAATTAATATTTTCTCACAAAATATTTTCAAATTTCTAACTTGCAAATAAAACTTTTTTTTTTAATTTTTTTTAATAAATGCTAATTTTTTTTTCAAATTTCTTAATGTTGTGATGTTTTTTTGTTCATTTAATCCCCTAAACATTCAGAGCATACCTGCTAAAAATGATTAAAAACAAGAGGAAGAATAGAACATGGTTGGAGATTACTAATGGTTACAAAATTTTGGCTTACACGACCCACCACAAAACTACATATAATTTCAACTGACTGTATAACAATAGCATTCGGACATACAGTATAATTTACAAATCCAAAGGTAAGTAACAATGAAAATATATATGAATGTGAGTTTTGGTTAAGATCATGGCTTACCTAGGCAAGGAAACTATAATATTCGATTTTTATGTTATGACGATGCAGTTCGGATGGTACCTGAGCTAGGTTCGGGTGTCGTGTGCAGACTAGATCTGGCATTGTGGATCAGATTTTGAAAATCTTGCTTCCATGACCATGAGGGATGATTTAGAGCACGAATGGAGTTCAGGCAGACCAGGAGAGTGCCACCCTCGTGTAGAAGGACCTGCGGTTGTGAAGAATCATGAAATGAATATCACTTGTTAAACGGAATTGACTAGCAATGTGCAGATAGAGAAGGATAAGGATGGTATGGTCTTTTTTTTGTAAGTTCTGCAAATTACAGGGGCGTTTGAAATTGTGTTTAAAACATATAAGGATACTATCAACCTAATTCACAAAACAAAATTATTTAATTGTATCGTTCACGGATGAAAATTCAAAATTTGAACCTTTTAGTCGAAGATATCTGTCTTAATCAACTAAGTTATGCTAAGAACAGCTAAAGCTTGCTGATTTTAGATGGTTCTGCCACACATTATCCTTATTTTAATAGCAAACTGGTGACACGAAGATTTTCAGTCCTCTGCTCTACTAACTGAGCTACTCCGACCATTTCATTTCCGATACATTAGACTTATTTTAATAGCAGATTTGAACCGGTGACACGAAAATCTTCAGTTCTCTGCTCTACCAAATGAGCTATACCAGCCATTTCATTTTCGACACATTAAACTTATTTTAATAGCAGATTTGAATCGGTGACACGAAGATCTTTAGTCCTCTGCTCTACCAACTGAGCTATATCGGCCATTTCATTTTCGACACATTAGGCTTATTTTAATAGCATATTTGAACTGGTGACACGAAGATCTTCCGTCCTCCGTTCTACCAACTGAGCTATACTGGCCATTTTCGACACATTAGACTTATTTATTTTAATAGCAAATTGGTGACACGAAGATTTTCAGCTCTACCAACTGAGCTTTACCAGCCATTTCACAACATAATTTAATAACAGGGCATAGGCACAAATTAAGTTAACAAAGTAAGGCAATAAGCTTTTTAAC